CTCTAGGGCCAATTTCGTGGGTTCGAGACCCGCCGCGAGCACCTTTTTTTTCTTTTTTTTTCTCTTTATTTCCTTTTTTTTTTGCGACTCGCTACTCTTTTGCGCCTTGCCGCGGGCGTTCCGNAAGGATTAGCAACATATATAGGGGAAAAGTTGCTCTAGGGCCAATTTCGTGGGTTCGAGACCCGCCGCGAGCACCTTTTTTTTCTTTTTTTTTCTCTTTATTTCCTTTTTTTTTTGCGACTCGCTACTCTTTTGCGCCTTGCCGCGGGCGTTCCGAAGCTGTTTTTCTTTTTCTTCTACTCGCTCTCAGTCAAAAGTTATGGAGGGACAACCAAAATCGGGTCCTTGAAAATTACCACTTTATCGCTTGATTAACCCAACGGTAGACGAGTGGAATACAAATGATGGGAGGGAGGGGAAAGCTCACACATATTTTTTTCTTTTCTCCTTCACACCGATCCGCGCATAACCGCTTTCACAACCCGGTACGTTATGCCCGCTGCTCGGCCCGTAACCCCCCCACGTTATCCCATGTAATAACCCCTCGTTGGCCGGAGGTTACACAACGCCCCCGTACAACCGTGCCCACTGGCCACCTGTGGCGGACGACGTGATGACCGAAGAAGCAAGTATTTCTTCACGGAAAGCAGGCATGGACTGCAGCGCTGACCGATGTACCAGACTCACACGTGGTGTGCACGTACGTACTGTACGACGCGTCGCGGATTGTTTTGCCACGGTTCATCAAAGGCACTGACCCTCTCGCCAACAAACACAGCACCATGGGGAGTGAACGAGCATTGCCAATCCTCTGAAGGTAGGATGGGTGGCGGGGGTCGGATGTACTCTCGGGCAGCGTAAGAAAGACAGCTGTCGAGGTGCGACTTTGGGTGTAGACAAGGCCAACTGATTGGAGAGGAGTACGGCGGCAGCAAGTGGCGCACAATGTAGCACCTCCTCGCCCTACAACTGGCAACTGGCGTTCGATCATCGAGGTCATCTGATGGCGCCCATACACGCACAAACAGTTTTCATTCCTCAGCATATCTCGAGGGACCCCTCGCCCTGCTCTGCGACCCCCCCATGAAGGAATGGACTCAAACCCGACTACGTTTCATGAACGAATGTTGTGTCGTCCTGCACGCCCACCATTGATTGATTTCTCTACCTCAAACCTGATTCCAGCGAGAGAACAAAGTGCAACGTGTGGGTGGCGGTCATCGACCGAAGGCATCATCTTTTTTACCATATTTTATCTTTTTCATGTCCAGGTCGCCGCAGAAGTTGGAAAACCAAAAAGCTGCAACACTCAGGACCCCACACGCAAAGAGCTTATCTTGTCGATTCAGCCTGAACAACATCAACAAACTTTTGCGTTTCCTCGCCCCCCGTCAAGGATGGCCGTCATTCAAGATACCTCTTATGACCAAAGACAACCAAAATACACAATCAACTTGCACAGAAACAAAACAGAGACTCACAGCTCAGGCGACATAGTGATCGCGGCCTGCCTAAAATACGTAGCAATCCACGCCAAGGCACTTGCATCGAAAGGGATAGACAGACCTTCACGACATGTCACACCCGACCGATGAGGAACACAGGTTCTCAACCACCCGCCTGCGGCAACCTAGCCGCTTACCGGAAATCAAACAGGAACATGTACAGTATACGACTAGTCATCCCAGGCAGGTAGCCTGCAAATTTCTCCGGCTCGCCCACTCTACCGCTGTCAACAACAGAGGTGCGCCTAACGTCGCACGTCCCACTCGCCTTGTCCAACCTCAACCACAGCAGCCGCCGGCGCTATATTTACACACAACCACTCTCTCTTTCATGAGTGCGCGCGCCGCGCGTGTGCGTCAACAACATCACCCGGCCAGTTCTAAATAGCCCCAGTTCAACTACCTACTATCTGCTTTCGCGCCCGGTTGCTCTCTGCTAACATCAATAATTTGAGCTACAAAGCGATGCTGCTGTCGTCTCCTCTGCTTGGCTTGAATCAGAGCTCGTCCTTCACGTCCTCAGACTCGACACCTTCCAGCTTGAAGGGGGTCGACGCCTGCAGGAACGAAGGCAGAAACACGTAAGAACGGTTATTTAACCACAACCAAGGATAGGTGTTCTGAGGGGAGAAACTATACCCTCCGGGATGTTGGTGTAGGGATCTTGCACGGAGGCTTGTATGCTACACCGCTGCAGGAACTTCATGCCTCCGGACTGAGGCCTTGATCCTGAAATCCGTAAACGCCTTCAACGCCGAATCGTTGGATGATCTTCCACGTCTAAATGCGACCAGAGAGAAACAGCAACACCCACACAACAGACTTACGTTGTCCATGATGAACTTGGCCAAGTCTTCGGTCTCGCGTGCGCCCTCGTACTTCATCGGGGAGCCCTTTCCCTTGCCCGGGAAAAAGAAGAGGGTAGGGAACCCAGCCACTGCAACCTGACGCGCGAAGACACCAAGAAAGGAAAGGAAGCAAGCGACACAGGTTAGGTTGAGGTTATTACCGCGGTTTCACAGTGCTGGAGCAAGCCAGATATTCACAGCTTCCTCTTCATCTCCCAGACAGCGACAGGAGGCCGAACGCATGGTACTATCTGGTCAAACATCGCCAAATGACCGATGTGTCCTCATGTAAAGAAAGGATCAAACTGCACGGGGCAACGACATGATGCCCCGTCCCAAGAACATCGAGCAATCACCCTCCAAGTACATGAAAAAAAAGAAGCAAAATTTGTTCCCGGAGCGGCGACGCCGCTCAGCACGACAGACACCCAACCCCATCGAGTTCACGCTGCTGTCAGGAACGTCAAAGCATCCCCCCACAAGCGATGCTTTTTGACAGATTGGGCGCTGCGTGCGCGATAGGTCAACACAACATAATACAGAGAACTGTTGCTGTCTTGCTGTCCCTCTCACCCCCTCCACGTCGATTTCGTTCTCGGTTGCGTCCATCTTGGCCACCACCACCGAGTCAACCCCCTCCAGCTTGCTCGCAAGCTCGTCGTACTTAGGCGCGAGTGCCTTGCAGTGCCCGCACCACGGTGCATAGAACTCCACCATCACGTCCTTGTCTGCATCGCCGCCGACGTTTTTGTGTGGTGCAAGCAATTAGGAGGGAGAAGCAAACGCAGTCAGTCACACAACGCAGAACGCGGCTCGATCCGTTTCCTTCTCGTGATATTAAAAAATCGAATCTTCCTCTCGAGACCATTTGCTCAAGTCGAGGCTATCGTCTCCCTAAAGGGTGCAAGAAAGGCACACCTCGCCTACATAGAGGCACGACAATCGGCCCCTGTCTAAAACACTCGCTTCAAGAATCGCAGACCGAGGTCTCGACACAATTACGAAGACGTGGAGCATCAACGCCAGGTGATTTTCTACCGAGACGTTAACCCTGTACCCGCTGCAACCTACCGCCCGAACCCGTTCGCCGCAAATAAAAAAGAAAAAAGGTTGCCCGCAAAAGAGAAATTCGCTGTCTCCTACAAGCAAGCAACAGACCCGCGACAACGCGGAAACCTCGAACAATCAATATTACGCATCCACCACTAAGCCTCACCGTTCTCGAGCACCAGCTTGGAGAAGCTCTTCCCCTTGAGAACCTTCACCGGTTCCGCGAGGTCCTCGTCCGCGGGCTCCTCGGACTTGAGGGTGGGGACAAGTTCTCCGTCGAAGAACTTCTTCTCGAAGGCCAAGAGCCCGGCCTCCGTGATCTCGTCCGCGTACCTGAATGAACAATAACAAAAAGGGTTTGAACAATGGGGAAAATCGTGGGTTGATCACTTCTCTCTCTCTCATCCTTTCTTTTTCTCTTCCGTGCCTTGTTTTGTGTTGACTGTTTTTGTCGGGTACCTCCTAAACGACAAACACAAAGGTTGCACAAATACCATTCATCAGCTTTTTCATGTCTTAGCTCGTTTTTGGCTCTTGTACAATAGCTGCGGTACGGCTACGTAGATTGCGGTGCTGCCGCTGATGGAAACGTTGGGGGCACGCCAACCGTACCCCTCTGGGATCCCACCCACATGTCATGACCACGGGACCTCAATTAAGCTCATTCTAGCACCACAAAAAAAATGCTCACATGTACTTCTTGATGGCGCTGTTGGAGGTCATGTCGGCGATGACGACCATGGGGAGGTTGTCGGCCTTGGCACCGAAGTACTGGAGCACGCGGTCCTCGGTGTGGGGCACGTGCACGTGGAGCAGCTTCCCGCGGTTGGTGGAGGCGGCCTTGGTGAGGGCGGCGCTCTCGGCCTCGAAGGTGCTGCTGCTGGCGTCGGCCATGTAGAGCATGTGCACCTTGACCTTGCCGCCGAAGATTGCAGAGGAGGTCTCCGGGGAGAAGGTGGTGACCAGGCGCATCGAGGCGCCCTCGATCCAGTCCGCCATTTCTTCCTGCAGGGGACGGTGGCCATTCAACGATACGTTAAGACTACGAATGAAATTAAATGCCCAGGTGGTACGTAGTGGTGTGTAACGTATTCCTGCACGGACGGCGACTCAAATAGCGCAACAACATCAACCATATTCGAATGATAAAACATCCACATCGTACATAGAGTGTAACGTACAGCAGCCAGTTCTTCCTGCACGGGATGGTGGCGATTCAAATTGCGTCACGCATCAACAAAGACAGCTTCACGCGAATGTAGTTCAACATGCAGACCGTCGCGTGTAACGCCTCCATTGACACAGTCCGCAAGTTCTTCATGCAAGGACGGCGATTCAAATACGCTACGAATTCATTGCAAATATATCACAATCTCGAATCCTTACCTGTGGATTGAGATGCACCGTTGTGATATAGAAACAAAACAAATTAAGAGCTATACAATTGTACTGTACACAAGTAGTAGAGTGCAACCCTTAGCATCCAAGACAAGCGGGCAAGACGCATCCATACGCCACCCCACAAACAACAGCACTAGCGACACCGACGCACCTCAGTGGTCGAAGAGGTAACGTCCAGCACCGCCTTCTTCTCGTCGAAGGTCTTCATGATCACCACCTTGCCGCCCTTGCCCGCGTCGTAGGCCTTAAGAACCTCCTTCGTGGAAGACGTGGCGAACGGAAGCCTGTCGATGCCGTTGGCCACGGACATGAAGGTCTTCGCCTCGGGGGAGTCTGCGGACGAGAACAGCCCGAGCACTACCGCCTCGTCCTCTCCCTCGAACGCCGTTGCCTCAGCCTTGGTGGCGAGGGTCTGCAATGCAAGTACACGCACGGCACACGCAAACAAGAGAACAAGAGTGTGAATGTGTTTGTGTGGGAGGGCTGTACTGATAGCCGTGCACGCCGTAGTCGTTAGACCATTGACCTCGCACCCCTATATACAAAACCAGCATGTCTGTGTGTGGAAAATTTAGCACGCGGAATGTGCGGTGTTGAAAAATGGTTATCGGAAGCACTCAACAAATACGTACTAGTAAGACGTAAGAGGGGTCGGGGTCGATGTGGTGTGGAGACCCGAAGACTTGTGCAGGCATCCTTGCCACTCTTGTGTCGGGCGGGGGGGGGGCGTAAACAACTATTTCGAGTGAGGTACACGAGAATCTTTACAGAGCATCCATGGGACAAGCACAACAACCGTTTCTGTGTGTGTTTAATATTAGCATCGACCGCGCTACCCTAACCGGCTGACCAATGGAAAGACGTCAGTCTGTGTGTGTGCCAATGTTGACTATTCTATTGGTCAGCGCAATAAACTTTGCTGCCGTACCAAAAAAAAAAAAAGAAAACGCTTGATGATCCTACATCATCCATGGGACCGATCGCTTCCGTACCTTAGCGGCGGGGCCCGACTTCTTCATGACGTATTTGATGATGTCGTCGGCAGTGCGGCCGCCCTGGTAGTCAGTTGGCTTGCCTTCCTTGAGGAGCTTCAGGGTGGGGAATCCGCTCACGCCGTACTCCTTAGCGAGGTCCTTGTGCGCGTCGCAGTCCACCTTAAGTTGTTCGGATCAACAGCCATGTATTTTCAATTTCTCGAAGTCAATCAATCCTCGGGCGTCCGAGTCCGAACACACGTGACTCCCTACATGCTACACTGTCTAGCAAGTGCGTGAGCTTGACACCAGCTCCTATGTAGAAGCAAATTTTAAGGCAAGACTTAACGTACCACTTAGATAGGCCCAGGCACGACGAAAAAAAACTGCACCACCCAGTAACAAGTTCAATTTCTGATTGTGTATTTCCTAAGGAGTACAATACATCGCATCACGAGCAAGCAAGCACTTTGGCAAACTTCAGATGGAAAGAAAGGGTGTGGACATTTACTTTTGCGATCTTGAGGTCCTCCTTCGCCAGAGCCTCGGCGGCCTTCGCGTACTCCGGCGCCAGCTTCTTGCAGTGCCCGCACCACGGTGCGTAGAACTCCACCAGAAGAGTAGGGTTCTACAGCAGCAGTACGATTCGGAAAGACCGGCGGCAACGATTCCGCAGCAGTAAGGTGGGCGGGGGTGCTCTTCATCGTTCTATTCCAGTCAAGGAGTGTTGCTTTTGAGATGAGCCGCCGGTCCTACTACAGCACAGCCGCAGCATACTATTACAACAAGCAATGTTGCGTTATCTTTTCAGCCAATCAGACCAAACATCGCCCCACACTGTCCGTGGTGTCCGATCCCTTGTAACTAGCTGTTTTCCATACGCATAGCAGTACACGCGGCGGACCGCGGATAGTCTTTTTAGAAATGTTGCCAGGACATGACGGAATTTGTTGTCGCTCGCAAGAGCGGTGTGTTGCAGCCTTGCGGCATCTGCCTCCGTCAAGTGTGTCATTCAAAGTGGTCCAACGCACAACTGCTCCAGAGATGGACGCTTCGCTAGTCATGGACGGCTTCAAGAGGCTTCTGCATTTGACTCTTGACACAGTTATCAAAGTTAAGTTTCCAACTCTTCGATAGCAACACCCTCGGTAGAACAAGTTTCACAACAGCGAACAGGGCGCCACGAGACAAGGAAGCGCCCTTGGAGCCGTTGAACGCCACACTTTACACACGATATTACACATGCACCTAACATCAGCGCAGTAAAAATTGCTGTCCATATATCTCACCATGTGCGGACTTTTGCGTCACAATCGGTGTACATGTTTCTTCTTTTCTTCTTTGAATTTTTGTGTTGAACTTACTGTAGAACAGCAGTGTTACAATATCACCCCCAAACACAAGAACCTTGGCTGTCGAGAAATTGATTCAGCCTAAAAAATATCAAAACGTGAGAAATACGCATGTAGAGCACAGTTCTCACGATTTGAGAGCTCGGGTGAGAAAAGACCTACAATATAGCGGCCGTTTGTAGCACAACCTTGGGCATTAAGAACCGACCCCATCCTCGCCCGACACTAAAGTGAGGTTCCTCGAAGAGCAGGCGCAAAATAAGTACATCAGTAGGTACACTATCCTTATTCCGAACCGCTCATACTATGCGGACTAAAAGAGCGGCGATGTAACAGCAAGTTCGGCACGCACCTCTGCGACGGCGTCGGCAAAGTTGGAGGGGTCCAGCACTAGAACACCATCCTCGGTAGCTATCTGGAGAACCAGCCCACCCCCATTCCATGCACGAGGGAGCGTGGGCAGAAGAGAAGCCGACACGACAAGGCAACGCGGCGGCGGGTATCATTCAGCGGGGTAAGGAAGGACGCAAGAACGGAGCAGCGCAGACAAACAGGGGTGCAGCAGTAGGAGTCAGCGAATGCGCTTGATAAGTACATACAGCGGTGCTTACAAGACAAGGCCCAAAAAATATATATATGTGACCATGCAACGAGAAGAGTGGGGCCGAGGCCATAGGTGGGTGTGATGCGTACATTTACGCTTATTTGAGATTCAGATGGTTGGTGCGAACTTAACGTCAACACGAAGCAGGAAACTACGGGGGAGATGTCTCGCGGCATTTGTACCTTTAAAGCAGTCAGTATTTTTGTGATGACCACCTGCTGCTTGGCATCACTAACAAATTTCAGGGTGATGGCATACATGGACTCTAAATAAGCTCAGTACCCAGCCGGTTTCCCTCCACTCGCAAAGACTCCAACACATCCCGTTCGACTAATGTTATATAACATGTCGAATACCGCAGGGTTGCGCGTCAACGCACAGGGGTACGATCGATTTCCAATGCGCCATTTCTCCCCAACCTGGAGGGTGCGAGCGTCAACCGACACTTCTCCGGAAAGCTCTCGATGAGATATTTCCAACACCACCCTTTTCGCCTTTTCGAGAGCAGTGGTAAACCTGTTGGTTGTGGAGAACCTATTAATACGCTATGAAAATCGATCGCACACCTTCGCACGGACTCGCAACCTTACGGTAGTCGTTCTGGGGTTGTATTGTTTTTCCTAAAATCACCACCGTACGTACCCGACGACTCCTTCGGAACGCAAGACCAGAAGACCAACGACACGCTAACTTGACGCCGTCAATCACATACCACACACAGACAGAATCGATCTTCTGAAACGCGCAAGACCATCTTGTCATCAAGGGAAATATTGAAGAGATCAAGCAGCAGCAGCAGCAGGTCGGTCTACTTGCACAGCAACACGTAACCCAAACGATGGTGCAGACGCTTCCCCGGCAATCTGCTACCGACGGGCCATCATGCGCTTCGAGCGGATGAAAAAGTTGGGGAGGGAGGAGCCACTCCCACCACGGCAACTTGGGGCAGCGGAGAATTTTTTGGATTTTCTTCAGGTTTCTCGTCGTTGGCAGCGCCGAGTTGGGGTTGGTTGCACACAACTCCAGCGCCCGCAGGAAATATCCTTTTGCCTGCTACAAGCCTCCGCTTGGAAATCGTTCAGCACACACCCTCAAGCGCCAGCAGGGAATCGTACATTACAGTACCTGCTGAGAGAACCAACCAGCTGTGTCTTACTATCCTGTGGCATGTCCACCAACGGCGTTGGTTCTCACGCGTTCAAGCAATCTCTCCGTACGTGGAACTTTCCCTCGTCCTCCCTCCTGCCACTCACACACACGGTGTTTTCAATCAGTGTTTTTTGCTTGAGTAAAGCAATGGGGGTATGCGTAAGTACATGTTCTTCCTTGAAATGCTCGCCCTACAGCACACGCCACGCCACCCACCGACAGCAGATTCTCTCCGACGTTGTCGATCGCAAGCAAAAACAGACACGAAACAGAACAACACCGGTATTATATTTTTGCACTTCTTTGGTCCGTTCACCACGGGTATATGCCCATCGGCACCACAGCACCTATAGCACATGGGCTGGGCACAAGACCTGCCAGCGAGCGATACCACTGCTACACGTGCGCGTGCACACTTGCTTCCGCGCGCTACGTGGATCAAGAGGAACAAATCCCGCTCTCAGCAGTAGCAGCGCCGCTCTACCGTCCGTACAACACAAAAGCGTACGCCTGGTTTCTGTACGCGTTGCTCACATCCGCTGCCAATGATGGGGTGGCCACCACCAGTAGTACCAAGCCTGCGCTCTTCAGGAGATTAAACATGGCGTCCGTGGTTGCTGCCTTGATCAGATAGTCAAGGTTGGGTGTGCAGGTGTGAGATAGAAAGCCTTCCGCGCGCTCGGTCTTCAGCAAAACTGGAGGGGAACGAGATGGGAAAAACGTGGGCCAATCACAACGCAGCTACCCACGTCAGCGCCCTCGCAAGGTGTATGCAAACCCCGAAACCGTCAATCCACACATTTACGTTCCGATGCGACCAGCCCTCGACGAGCAAAGAGATCGTCCATGTATTCACGTTTACAACACTCCAATAAACTACTGTACCTACAAAAGAGTTGGCATATCTACCTGGTTCCACGCTTGTTTGCAGGATACAACAACGTTCCCTATAAAATAGTGGCAAACCGCTCAACTGCCTGTAGTGATATGTCATGCCCTGCACTGGCATTTTGTCGTCAGATTCTCGACCAAGACGTTCAGATATTGAAGTATGTTGAGACATGTGAACGATGGGGAAGCAACAAACGTCTGCCGGTACAAAAAAAAGATAGAGTGTTCCTCCCCATGCACACAGGTACTCTTGTGACCTCGCAAAATCGTTGTGGAATCGCCCAGCCATAGCAACAACAGTTGTACGTACGTAGTGACACGGAGAAATACAAAGACGCCAAACCCATATATCATTCCACTCGTCTGGGTTAGACTTTATCTTTAATGGGTTGTCGCTCTCGATTGTAGGTTATGCATACTGTATACTGTCTAAATAGGGGAGAGAATATCCTGCACGTACATGGCGGCGCCCTATCCGCCGTACGGACTCGGTGTAAAGTTAAGGGTGACAGTGGAGAGACGCAACCCCACCGTCCATCGTAGACATGCACGAACCACCCGGAACAGTCTCGGTCCGGAAAAAGAAAAACTGCTGCGGGAAGAAAATGTAATGCTCTTGTTCGGAAGAGAATTGAGGATTTCATCATGTCTACAAATGTTGGAGGCCGTGTTCGGTCCCGCTCGCTGTGTAGATCTATATTTCATACTCCTTCATCCTACCCCAATCGTTTATAGAAGAGTTGGAGATGTTGATTGTTGTTTCGTCCTAAGCACGACTCGCCAGATCATGGAGAAGACCGGTGGTGACCCTATAGGCAGGTTGGTCTGCACGCATTGAGAGTTGGTGGCTGATACGTTGTTTGCAGTACACAGACAGAATACCGAAAAGACGTAGGCGAGGAAGATTGCCGGCGGGTACAGATGATGGTATCGTAAGCTAGCAAGAGGAGAAACGATGGCGCCCCGAAGGGTCAAGCAAGCAAGAAAGAGAGCAAGGGCAACACAACATGACCTCACAACCTTGGTGTTGGTGGGTATTGCACTTTGTCGCGCTCGAACTCATGTTCTGCATCAATAAACGTTCTCTTTGATTTTGCTTAGAGTACCTACCCTCTCTGGGTAGTTACAGCCTGTGGCCACGGAAGAAAACTTGCTGCACTTTGGCCAGGCGGATGTTAGAAGTGACACTGTAGTGAACACTTACCAGAACGATTTCTGAAACATGAGTAACAACAACAGCAACAACAATTCAGCAACAGCGAATAGTCTAGTGGAAGTCCAGGGCAACGAACTTGGGACTTGCTTTACATCACAGTGTGTTCTCAAACCATGCCCTCTAGTAGATGTCCCGGCGACTTCTTCCTCGCTTCCGTCCACCTGCGGCCGTAGACTCTTCTGACATTAACTCGCGGGCACGCGCTTCCCACAACAGGGGTACGGAGGAAAATTACTCATTTCTGTGCATCACTAGCCGTCTGTTCCCCAATCATGAGACACCATGCACCGACCCCGTTCCCTCAGGTTTGAAGTCGCTTGCATCGCACGCAGAGGTCAGTCCATCATCTAGAGACGGTCAACGTGTAATCACCTTAGTTATCTTGAACGTAGCCTTGTGTGGACTCCCACACCAAACATGCACCGATCTTCTTTCCGTTAGAGATACATCAGTCAGATATGCTGCAGCGAGCGACGTGCTACAGTACGTACACCTAGTTTCGAGTTCCGATCGATCTTTGTCAGGGCGTTGTGTGTTCGTTTTTCCTGAAGTACGGCAACGGGGCGCAGGCGGACCGTTTACAGGAAGGTTGTTGGAAGGGCGGGGGGAAATCGTCGTCGAACCCAATATTTGGCGTTAGAGTATACATACACGTTCGTTCACAATCGAACGTGTTGGTGCCAACGGACGTAGGGCATGTTACAACCTGCACAAAGGGCAACTTTGGAAACCTTTCCAAGGAAGAAGCTGCAGCAAAAGAGGTATCCGCTCGTAGGGCCCGGGGGCGTAAGAGGAGTCCTCTCCGCACCCACATTACTCTCAAAACAAACACTTTGGTGTAGCTGCCGTCTTGTAGCAACAACAACAGTCATCTTGGGCCCACGGCGTTGTTCGATAGGAGTTTGCGCCTGATATTGATGCGCGCGCCACGGTCAAGCTATTCCCCCCGTGGGTGGCCTGCATGTATGTGCACGGAGCGTATCTTCTTGTAAACAGCGATACGCACATAATAATCAATTGATGCCGCGACCGCAGTTAGTTTATAGAGGAGTCAAAACTCTGCTGTTCCTGCTGCTCCTAAAGCACAGGATCCGTGAGACGTATCTGGAGGTGCCTTTTCATCCCATCGAACAACTGTTTGTCTGTGTATCACCTGACGGGCTGTCTGTATGCAGTACCGACCACCACACATGAGAACCTCTCCTTTTTAGAGCAACCTTCAGGTTCGTTCTTGTTTCGTTTGTGCGTCATCAACGGCAATATGCTACCTACTATAAAATCTAATCTATGGTATGTGGTTCCATAACAGGTAGAGGTTTTATCGCCGGGGTTGTCCAAGCTGTTTAATAGATGTTACGTATCTGAACCCTGTATCTTAATACCAGCCAAGTGGTGGCCGGTGCTATTAACCTTCCACGGGACAGCTTCGTAGCGGGTGTTTCAGGGATAACCTTGGGGGAGTTGGAAACAAGGGATAGAAAAACTGTACATACTACACGTGCATGGAGCTTCGCGAATCAGGAAGTGAGTGGTGGAGAAGCTGGGTAGACTACAGATAGCGCCCGCACATTAGCAGTTAAGAACTTGAGACTCGCAAAAAATCAGAAGCTAAGAACTTGAGCACCATTTGTGAGCTCGGTTAAGAACCTCACACTAAAACCTTTATAGCGGCCATTTGTAGCCCACAAGAGGATGATCAGCAAAATACGAACCCCAGCCTCGGCCGAAACTAGAGGTTTTTAAGTGCGGGAGCAATCTGTATTTCCAAACGAACCCCACGTGTAGCACGAGTTTGGCTGATTTGTCGGCCCAAAACAAAGCTCACGAACTGTTTATGTTTTATGTTTCTTTTCTTCAGACCGCAACCAGAAACATGTATCGACTTCAACTGCAACGAGGTCCCACCTACCTCACCTACCTGCCGTACAATCATAAAACTGCAGGCACCTTTTCTCTCTCTCTGTATGCACAAGTGTTTGTAGCAACACCACACATGTTCTCCGTCATAACATCGTCAATCATTCCGCGCGTGTCCCGCGGCATCTCAGTACTACATACATCATACACCCCCCGTCTTCTCACGATCGATGAACGACAAACTCTACTTCTTCGGTACAGACACTCGTCGTGAGCGGCGAACGCATGACACGATGTAGGGTGTACTACAGTACTACTGCTGAACACTCCGTCCGGTGCCCAGTACGCGTTGAACACAACTTTTCTAACGGGGAAAGCCAAATACTTGTAGGAACAACCGACGACGTTTGTATCGGGGAAACCAAAAAGGAACAACCGGTATTATTATGAAGAAATGCCAGTGTCTATCTTCTCGGAACTTGGTTCGTTTGGAGGCAATAACCACAGCAACAGCAAGAACACCGACAGCACTGCTTCTACGGTGTCGATCGTGTTTGTCCGTGTGAGTTTTTTGTTACCACACACCACACACGTCAGCAGAGATCGGAACCGTTTTTAGAAAGTAAACATAACCTCACAGAATGAGTACCCGTTCGAGATATAACCTCGTTTTTATACAGTTAGTTGAGGTCCGCACTTAAGAAAATGGCACTTACGAATATGGTGCTAAAAAAAAACAAAAATCGAATTTGCCGGTAAGAACACGTGCTCAGATTGCACCTGCAGTTTATAATAAGAACGCACGCCTGAGGTGTACCACTGCTGCTAAAGATAAGAACACGAGCACACTCAGCAGCTGCGAGATAAGAACATTCGAACGGGGAGGGGGGGACGTGCGGGGGGGTGATCCAAGTATTGGATTTGGCAAGGGGGTAGGTGTGCCGAAGGTGGGTGCATACATACACCTCGAAATCTGCATTTTTTGCAGAGGAGAGGGTGGGCACTGTGCACGTCGCGCCCCCTTGGCGGCTGCCAGGCCACGCACGTGCAGCGGGCCACGAGTTGCCTGCCATACAGGGGGGTCATGTCCCTGTCCAATCCCTTATCCCATGGGTTTGAAAGATCTTGGCAAACTTGCAGAGTTGAAAGGACGAGGTCTGGTTCTTGACCGTCACTTCGAGACGATAAAAACACATGTGAAGGCGGGAAACTCCGTTGCGAAGGAGTGGTGGGACGCCATCGAGAGCGCATGGGGGTTGACGCAGAACGGTATCTTCCACGAAGGAGGGTGGATTGCGCAGATTGATGGTGAAATCCAGGGCATTACCAGCAGCACCCGCCTGTCCTTGTCATCCCAACAAGATGCCAGCAGCGCACGAGGTGCTGCTGCACCTTCTCAGCACCCACCTGCTGCTGCAGCGGGTACCGCGAGGAGGAAGGTGGATCGAGGGAAGTTCGCCAGGGAGAGAGCTGCGAAAGGCACTTTTGGCGGCAACATCTACAACGCGTTCTCGATTGGCAACGGGCAACCGGTGAGTTCGGTTACATATGTATCCGACGCACGCTGTTGCTTTGTTTTGCTACACAGGTGTTTTTTTGTTTTTGTTTCTTTATTCCCAATAGTCTAAGCAAGAGAAAAAATGAAAAATAAGGTAAGCTTATGAGTCTAATGTGACCCAAACGAAACGGACGTCATCTCCCCACTCTCTCGTGTGATTCACGGTAATCTTTACAAGGAAGTATTCGTTCAGAGTGCATAGATACTTTTGCCAGCGGCATCCACGGAAAATTGAATTCAACAGCGCCACAACTAAGAGCGACTGACACGTCACATGGCTCGTTGAATCCCCTACACGGCAACTCCGCCCTTTCCCATCGCACCGAGCAGATTNGATACTTTTGCCAGCGGCATCCACGGAAAATTGAATTCAACAGCGCCACAACTAAGAGCGACTGACACGTCACATGGCTCGTTGAATCCCCTACACGGCAACTCCGCCCTTTCCCATCGCAACGAGCAGATTAAGCGGACTCGTGGTGGAGTGAAAGAGTTCGTACCCGGTATCAGCTTCCCGCCTCCGGCCCCGGAGTCCCGCCGANAATTGAATTCAACAGCGCCACAACTAAGAGCGACTGACACGTCACATGGCTCGTTGAATCCCCTACACGGCAACTCCGCCCTTTCCCATCGCAACGAGCAGATTAAGCGGACTCGTGGTGGAGTGAAAGAGTTCGTACCCGGTATCAGCTTCCCGCCTCCGGCCCCGGAGTCCCGCCGATCCTGCCCTCATTGTCCCATGACCTTCGTGAACGAGCAAGGCCTTGGGATCCACGTGAAAACGCAGCACAGCAGTGCAAACATGTCCAACAGCGTGCGGCTGCGGCGGATGCTACGGAAGAATCTCGAAGGGCGTGTCCTGCCGTGGGAAGAAGCCGGGCCTGGGCGTTGTTGGCACGTGAAGGTCGATGATGCGACCGGGGCGGCTTCGTTTGTCCTCCAGCGGAAGCGCTTCCTCGATCTAGACTTGGAAAGCGACGGCTTCATGGACCGCGAAACCAAGGAAACACGTGGAGCTCCCAAGCGCAGGCGATACGACTATAGGTTATGCTGTCAATCAGCTGCGCATCCTCGAGGACAACGCCGCGGACCTCTGGAAGGAGGAGGAGCGCACGCCTCGTCAGTACGTAGAGGATCGTCTCAAGGTTCACTACAGCAACATCGTGAAGTGGGCCAAGGACGAGAAGGCCATAGTCGCGGCGGCAGCAGACCACGTGAAGAAGAGCCTCCTCGCCAAGCAGCAGCCTAAGCGGTGGTTTCCTGAGGCAGAAAAGAGGCTTTACAAGATGTTCGTGGAGCGGCGTAAGAGGAAGCTGAAGGTATCAACCCTGTGGCTGACGATCACGTTCCGGAAGCCTGTGCGAGAGATGAATCCCGGGGACCAACGGGCGGCGGCGTTCCGCGCATCCTTCAGGTGGGCACGAAAATGGGTCAAGAGGCACAACCTGTCCAAAAGACGTCGGACCAACCTCAAGAACAAGTCTGTTAAGGAGCGCATACCAAAGATCCAGCGCTTCCGCCGACTGTTTCGCAAGCTCCTGCAGGAGCCGGTACGGTACAGGGCGCCCGATGAGTCGGACGTATCGGCGATTACGACGGTCGCAGAGGGGGAGTCCAGGCTTCCCAAGGATGGCCAATTCGAGCTCTGGGAACGTTGGAATGTGGATCAAGTGCCTTTGGCATTCGTAAACGGGCTGCACGATACGTGGGAGGAGCGAGGTGCAAAGCGTGTCACCATCTCACAGCACTTTCCTGGCCTAGAGAAAAAGCAGTGCCCCATGCAAGTCATCTTTGGTCCGGGTGAGAAGACCTTGCGAATTTCGGTGATTTTCCGACGCACGGGGAAGCGGATCTCGCCGGTGGAGAAGGCCGCNACCGCGAAGGCCTGATGCGCGGGCGGGGTGAGCTTCCCAAGGCGAGGTCCATTCTTATCATGGACAACTTGCACGCGCAGACGACGGACGAGTCCAAGGAGTATCTTGCGAAGGAGTGCAACACTCTCGCCTAGTATGGCTCTTCGGAGTGCACGGACGAGGTGCAGCCAGTTGATGCAGGAGCCGGACGATTTTTCAAGGTGGAAGCTGGGAGGCAGATGGACATGTGGCTCGAGCAGTCGGACAACCTCGAGAGGTGGGAAACCGCGGCGCTGACAGCTTCTGATCGGCGGGTACTGATCACTCAGTGGATTGGAGCGGCCATGGCAAGACTCAACAGCCAACAGGCGTTCCGATTCCGCCTTTTCAAAAAGTGCGGGATGGCCATGACTGTGGACGGCTCATGTGATGATCGGATCACCTTGGAGGGTTTGGACAAGCCGTACACCTTCGCAAACGATGAAGACTGTAGCGAGGACGAAGAAGGTTTGGAGAACGGCAGCGATGAGCCTGAGGGGCGGGGGAAGGAGGGCGATGGACATGAGACGGTCGTGGAGGGCGCTGATTCCAGCGATGATGAAGACGACGGCGGTAAGATGGATTTGCACTAGACCCAATCTCTGTCATTTCCTTGTTGATGACGATGTCCATGTTGATATTTGCTTGGATTTTGCTGACGTGCTGTTTCCGCGTTCACGACTACGAGCAAATATGATGGGTTCATGTTGAGTTTCGGCCGTGACACCGTACTTCTTGTGGTGTTTCACGGTGCCCCGTTCGCAGGCACGTCTCAAACCCAGACCGATGAGCTAGCTCTTCGACGACGACAGCATGGACCCACAAGACCCGAAGGACGAGACACAAGGAATGAAGATCCCGACAGGCTTTCGTATTCAAGAAGTTAAACCCGTTGCTCTTGACAGATTGCTTTTGCGACGTTGAGTGCTCGTTAGGCTGGGGATGGGGTGGTTTGGAGGGTTGATCATTCAGCAATCTCAGCAGGACACTCCCCACCTGTACGACTACTGTGTGCAGCTGGAGCTAGACCAGAGTATGCGCAAGATGAAGCTTCCCTCAGACAAGTGCACCGGAGATCTGGATGCGGCGGTAGGCTCCTGGATTTTGCTTGAGAGCGTTAGTAGATCGGGGAGGGTACGCAGGACCAACGTCACCCTTGTGGACCAAGATGGTTGACAGTTGCTGCTGCATGCCTTGGTGTGTTCTTGTACCAAACAACAGCATTGTTCCTCATGCTCAACACTATAAACACTCCGCCGAGTGCAGTTGACAGCCGCCAACAAAGCACGTCGTCATACAACTTACGCCAACAGGGCCAACTGGTGTTGAAATATGAACAAGAACAATTCACTGGAGAAAAATGGGACGGCGAAATAAGAACATGGCCAATAAGAACACGTGCTCGGGTTGGGGCAGCCAATAAGAACTGAGCCTCGCTCAAAATAGGAAGTTCTTAAGTGCGGGCCTAAACTGTATAGTGACGACGAGCAGCGATAACATCATCATGTGCGTGCGTGCTCTGCAGGATACACAAGACAAACATGTGTACTAGATGAAATTTGCGCGTGCCGTTGAGCAGGATCATCCGCGTTGCATGCTTCTCTCTCTCCCGCCTTCTCTCTCGCCCATCTTCTCACTACGGAGGCAACCCCCCGACATACAACCTACCGGCCCGCCTAGTCGCACGAGGCGAGACAGAATCGGGTTTACCATGAGCTCCATGATAAAACCATGAGCAAATTTCCTAGAATGTTCCCCCACCTCTTCTTCACGATCTTCCGGAGCCCCCATCCCCCGTCGGTAGCTGGCGGCACAACCTACTCTCTCCCTCGGCGCTTGTGGGTATTGCTTGGAGGACCACAAGTAGGACACACGCACACAAAAGAGGCCTACGACCAACACAACCAAGGCCCCCGGAGAGATCAGCAGCGGCAAGAAGAAAACCCGACTGCTGTGTGCTAGATTCAAATGGTGCTCGGGCATGGCGTCCAGGCTGCAACTACGGCCGGCGGGGACGCATCCGCGGGAGTGAAGCGCACTGCGGTAGAGGATGTCCTGGCAGCTTTGAGCATGGAAACGTCTGAGGGAAGCATACCCGACCCATCCAAGCATGTGAGACAGGTGAGTGCGGATCCTCTTGCGACATGTTTGGGGTTGTGGCCTGGGTTTATGTGGAAGCAGCGCGCCCTTCAGTTCAAAAATTCGAAGGTGTGCCGCCGCTGATGCTGCTTGCTGCTGCTGCTGGGTGCTGTTGCTTGCGTTTTCTTCGCATCACCTATCAACAAACCCGCCGGAAACATCAAGTGACGAGCAGCGCGTGCTTTCAGGGCCCCTTGTTTTGTGCCAGAAGAATTGAGGTACCGAGGTTGTTGATCTCGACTGGTACGCGTACAGCCGCCGGCCCAATACAGGAGACCAAAACCGCACTAACAACTGCTGCCGGTATCTACAGCTTCGTCGTATATATATATTTTTTTCTCCCATCATTGGACTCTGTCGTCTGCCCCTCTGGCCCCTATCCTCCACTTCTACTAGCTAGACGACCCAACCGGGGTCACATAGGAGGGGGAGGTTGGACCCCCTCCTGCGGTCTATGCCTGAGGTATTTTTATCGCGAGAAGGGTATGTGGTTGAATGATACCTACCGCATGCCGCAGGTATTTTGGTTCTTCCACGCTGGGTTATTCATACGTACTACGTCACCCCCTTCCTGCTTTACCCCTCATGCCCAACCATACACCCACCGGATTGGCCCCTTGGCGGAGTGGCTGGGTATTTGTTTGAAACACAGGCTGCTTGTGCAATACAAGTGGTTCACGTATTTTCCCGAAGATGTGGAACGACAGATTCATGTCCAGTTTTCATGCGAAGTATTTTATCATTTTTGCCGCTCGTGTCGGTGTTTCTCACGTCTATTTTTTTTTTTTCACTGCCTCCTTTTCCCACAGAATTTTTTTTTTCTTTTCGGTAGAGATGGATTCGTTGAACCTAGACTGCTTCCACTTCGTACTGCTGTTTTAAGAAAAAAAAGGATGTATTTTTGCGGGGTACTGCTGTTGAAGTTGTGCAACGGGCGTATGATCGATGAACCAACAGACCGCCTACAACTACAACGGGGGGAGATTTTTTTTCTCTTTTTAATAAACGCTCTGGGACGAGGACGGACGTGTTCGCGAAGAATATATGCCCTCGGCGTACGTATAATATGCATCACATCAACGAACGACTCTTGGTCTCCCGGACTAATGCCCCGTCCCGCCGCGGTGGAGTAGCTTTGCACGTTGTTGGACTCTCTGGTAAATACAATTGTTATTACTGCTGCTGTATCCATGTTGATTCGCCCTGTACGCCAACAGCCCGATGTTTTCAACTCGACTCGGATGGTTGAAAAATAGAACCGAAGCTGCTGTTTGGCGACATTTTCTGACAAAAAGTAGGCCTGAATCGAATTGAACGATCGACTTTACCTCGTTTTGACAAGCAGAAGTTGACAGGTTCTCGCCCGGCCTCCTCCGGGAAATCGATTGATGGATACATGATGAGGAAAGAGAGAAAGAGGTGCTCTTCACCTGGCGTAATCGACAGCATACGAACAAAGATAGAGAGAGAAGAGGAAGAAACTAGAACGCATTCTCACCCATCCTATCTTGGTTCGCCGTCCCTGCACGTACGCCAACAGCCCATCAGATTCGGCCGAAATTTCCTTTGGAACCGCAGTGGTTTCATCACTGCACTCCCGCCGTGCTATCTACCATCTGCGGAAAACCATCACCGGGCCACGTAGCGAACGGTTCTGTTACCGCTGTTTCAACCCCGTCTTTCTTCGATCCCTGCCTATAATTGCTCTCTTGCGCAGCCCGCGATCTATCTAACCCGCTCGTCGCCTTTGTGCGATGGTTTCCTCCGTGTTGAACGAAAAACGACGACGACGCCGAACGCAGAGGAGCAAGATGCACGAGGTGGAGATGGACGAGAACAAGGTGGTGATGCACACACGGCGGGGCAGCACGGCGGTCGGCGTGACCCCCAGCGACCCCTCCGCCATCGTAGACCTCTTTCAAGAGGTGGAGTCTATCGGTGAGTGGCGTATCGTACAAGGCGGACAGAGACCACGCCGTAGATACACCACATGGCAGGACTGAGGCTACAAGAAGGGCGCCCTGGTAAAGGTAGCGCGTCTGGGTGATGTGAGAAAAGATCGACAGAGCGCCGCGCTATCACGATAGTTGGACGTGAACAGGGCATGAGAATTTCACGAATACATATGCCTCCCCAACTCTGCACAGCAGCAACCCGCCATTGAGAAACCTCAACCCCAACTCGTCGAGACACCTATTCCAAAGATAGAGATTTTTGTGTTTTTTTCCTTCCTCTTTCGGCTACGTATGCCACCGTCCTCGGTCTGAAACCGTGCACGAGAAACATGGCAACCAAACCCCTCCGGCCCGTCCCCCCTCCGGCCTCAGGGAGCACCTACTTGCCGCCAGACGAGACCGACTCCGAGGACGAAGATAGCAGCCACCACAAGGCCGCCGCCGCCTCGGGATATTCCGCCGCAGCCTCGAGCGACCCGCCGGGGCAACAGCAGCAGTCGAACGCCGACTCGGCGTCATCGGTGGGCTCGACCACGAACGAGCAGCAGCACCACGCCTCGTCCGACGAGAACAACGTCTCCGCGCCGGCAGCAGCGGCAGCAGCGGGAGGTTCGCAGAAGCACAGGGTGGGCGTCGCGGGAAAGCTCTGGGCGCAGCAGGAGCAGGAGCCCGAGTCGTCCAAGTCGCCGCCGCCTCCGCCGCCGCCGTCCGACAGCCCCGCCCAGATGGTAGAGCCGGCCTGGGGATCGGGCGGCGATCCGCAGGCCCCGAAACCGTATTGGCGGCCCACTGACGAGGAGGCGGCGGGGGTGGCTTCGGGCGAGGGGGGCGCTGTGGTTGCGCTCGGTGGGACGGAGGGGGGAGGCGAGGCAAACCGGAAGGTGTGACAAGCAGATGGGGTTTTAGTTTGTCGGTCAAAGGGGCGCGCCATGGGAGGGGGGGGAGGGTCGAGGCAAAGGGAAAGGTGTGAGAGACAGATACGGAAAAAAACGATTGCCGTATCTAGGAGCAAGTGTGCCCCCGTGTGTCGAAAGTGGTGCATGGGGTGAACGGTTTTGAGGAACCAAGGAACCGAACGGGGGCTCGAAATCTCAGCACACACTCCAACGCGGTATTCCCATTCGTGTTTGCCCTTGTGCCGGCCTGCTCCTCTGAATAGAGCGGAGAACCCGCTGGAGCAGAGGCTCGATTAAAATTGGGTCTCGGTGGGATGCGACGAGCAGAGGCTGCATGGAAACTCACGTCGTCAGAGGTGTGTGCCTCTCCCTCTCCCTCTCTCTGCGTGTTTGTCTGTTTGCATCGACCGCGCAAACCGGTTGGTCTCAAAGACGTCAGCCGTAAGACCCGTGATGGGGGGAGGGGGGGGGGGTCATGGGTCATGGGGGATGCTTCGGAGTACAGACGAAAATTGGGGTAGATGAAAAGAAATGCATGTGTTTTACGGGGGCTTGTACTTTCTACGCGGTTCTCTATTCTTGCATCAGCCGCGATACGTACATGACTGATCATTTTGCGGGCTCCTTAGTCTCGACGGGTTGGAAACCGAAAAAGCGTTGCAATCGAGGGGGGCTCCCTGCGGGGGGCTCCGCGAATTTCCTGTCTGTATGTTGGTCGTGGTAGCAAATTGCGAGCCGTTCCGTTCGAACAACGCTGTCTTCAATCAAATTCAACGTCCTCTCCTATTCCCATTCGCGCGCACACACACACCCCTCCCGCCCGGTGGCAAACCTTTCCCCCCCAGACGCAGAGCCAGCAGCCGGGGCACCATCAAGAGCAAGCAGCAGCGGCAGGGGTCCCCGAGCTGCCGGTGCGACCGGGTCTTCCTCCCCCGCGAGGGTCTTCCTCAGCGCTGCAGGCGACCTCGGTCAGCGAGTCGGCGCAGGCGCCGCTCCGCCGCAAGACGTCGATGGGGTCCTTCCAGAAGGGCATGGGAGAAAGCCTAACGGGCAGGCTTCGCAAGCAGCTGGACATCCCGGACGCACCGAAGCGGGAGATCGATACCAACATCCCCGTAAAACAAATACAGAGCTTGAAGTACCTCGCACAGGTGAGGACTGGGGGGGGAGGGCAGGGGTGAGAAGGGCGTACGTGTGTATTGCCTTAGCGGGTTGACGATTGACCACGCGTCCTCGAGAGGACGTCGCATTTTGCGAGCAGGACGGATGACTGATGGCCAATTCCTTCCTACTTTGCCAGAGGGGGCTCGAAATTGTAGGGGGGGGGG